CCTACCACATGACATATACAGAATTCATTCAAAATGGATAATAGACCAGAATGTAAGAGATAAAACTATAAATCTCTTAGAACAAAATACTGGTATAAGTTTCTGTGGCCTTGGTTTAGGCAATGGTTTCACAGACATCAAAACTACAAATATCAAAACAAAAAAAGTTGATAAATTGGATTTCATCAAAATTAAAGTTTTTGCTTCAGAAGATAATTAAGTATTAATTAATTATCAGAATTAATTATAATTAATTAATTATTAAGTATTAAAGTATTTCCTAACCATACAACTGGTAAGGGACTTGTATTCAGAATATAAAAAAGAATCTTGCAACTCAATAGACAAGTAACCCGATTTAAAAATGGACAAAAGATTTAAGTAGACATTTCTCAAAGGAAGATATTCAAATGACTAGTAAGCACATAAAGAGATAGTCGACATCATGAGTCAACAGAAAAGTGCAAATCAATACCACTTCATACCCACTAAGGTGGCTAGAATTAGAAAAACAGCATTGGGATAATGTGTAAAAATTAAAACCCTCATAGGTTACTGGCAGGACAGTGAAATGGTACAGCCTTTTGGAAAATAGTTTGGCAGTTCCTCAAATGGTTTAGTGTAGAATTACCTTAGGACCCAGCAATCCCACTCCTGGGTATATACCCAAGGGAGTGAAAACATGTCCACACAAAAACTTATGTACAATGTCCATGCCTGCATTCTTCATAATAGCCAAAAATTAGAAACAACTCAGATGTTTTTCAGCTGAATAAATGGATAAGCAACATATAGCATAATTATACAGTGAAATATTACCCAGCAACAAAAAGAAGTATTCATGCATGTTACAACATAGATGAACCTTCAAAACATGCGAAGTGAAAGAAGACAGTCACAAAAGGGCCCAAATTCTATGATTACATTTATTGGAAGTGCCCAGAATACAGAAATGTATAGAGACAGAATGTAGATTTGTGGCTGCTTGGACTTGGAGAAATGGCAGGTTAGAGAGCTGATTTCTAAAGGGTACTGGGTGTCTTTTTAAGTGGACAAAAATGTTCTAGAATTGAGTATGGGGATGGTTGCACACATCTGGGACCGCACAATTTACATGGGTGAATTGTGTGCTTTGTGAGTTATATCTCAATAAAGCTATTAAAAATAAAAACACTGGGGGAGACAAAGGGATCAGATAAGAATCCCTTATGTTTATAAGGAACTAGTGTGGTTAATTAGAAATGTAAAATTTATGGTTTATTTAATGTTAGGGGAAAAGTATAATTATGTATTCTGTATAAATATATTTGTTAGTGTTTTGATTCTATGAGGATTAATTGAAATAAAATAGAGCACCAAGAGAAATTATAAAATAATGAAATATAATGGGAAGCACTAAGAATAAAAAAGTCAAGAATGTCAGTTTGGAAATATTTTTTCCCACATGCATGAATTCAACTTTTATTCAGTGGCTTCATTACTGCACTCATGTTTCATTTGAGGTTTTTGTTTTGTTTTATTTAATTCCTGAGTTGGGATGACCCTGGTATTTTACAAATTTAAATAAATTTGTACAGGAAATACAGAAAAATACAGGAAAGGTAAATTCCCATGCTATAATTATAGGTCTTGTTATATAAAATACAACACATGCTCTTGATAAATTTCTGTGAAAATTCACTTTTTGTAACTGATTTAAATCATTTTCTTTCAGGAGCAATCACGACCTCCTTTTCACAAGTTGCAACTTTTCCTTACATATTTGTTTCTATTAAAATAAAGGATGCCTAAATGAAAACAGTTTAACACAATTATGTAAGCCTGAAAATTAGATCCAACAAATGTCTGACCTGGAGATTAGAACCAGCCAAAGAGCAGTGATCCTGGAAGGAGTGAATCATAGGAAATTAGACATTTAATGATAGTGTCTATTCACTGTCTCATAATTCTTCCTTCAATTTTATAAGAACCCTGATGTATTATGGCATTTTCTTTTTTTAAAGATTTTATTTATTTGACAGAGAGAGACACACAGAGAGAGGGAACACAAGTAGGAGGAGTGGGAGAGGAAGAAGCAGTCTCCCCACTGAGCAGGGACCTGACGTGGGGCTTGATCCCAGGACCTTGGGATCATGACCTGAGCTGAGGGCAGACGCTTAACAACTAAGCCACCCAGGCGCTCCTATAATGACATGTTCTAATGGAGGTCCCATGTCCAAGAATATGGGTCAGTTCCCAGAGTGGTGTAAAATCTGAAAACTGTGCATGAAGTATACCTGCTTTGAAGCCATCTGGAGCATCAGCATAAAGTCTGAGAAATGACAAAATTCTGAGGAAACTGGCATTGGACTTGGCTTCTTTTTATTGCTTTTCTGGAGTACTCATCTTGGGCTCAGAACCAGAGCTTGATCAGAAACAGGCTTACACCCAGGGACCTGGACATTGTGGTAGTCTTTGTGATTATCTGGTTTTGGTTCAGAACCATCTCAGACACATCCCACTTGCTGGGGGCCAGCCTCCTCCGGTTGTGGAAGCAATTCCCGTCAGATGCAGCATGACATCGTGGGCTTGATTTCCAGCTCCAATACCTACTACCTCCGAGACCCTGAACAAATTATCTCACCTCTCTGAGCTTCCAATTTCTCATCTGGAAAAGTGGGGTAACAACACTTAGATATAAGGGGGGAGGTGGGAGATAGAACAGATGTTTAAGGGTCCAAACTTGTAGCAAGTAGTAAATCCTGGAGATCTAAAGCACAGTATAGGAAATACCGAGAATACTGTGTTATAATCACCAAACTTGCTGAGACGAGAATTTAATTGTTTCAACCACCAAAAAGAAATTATAATTATGTAACATGATAGAAGTGCTAATTATTACCCAAACGGCAATCATATTACAATATATAAATATCATATAAATATACTTTAAACTTGTACCATGTTATATGTCAATACTGTTATTGACATGTTATAACCATGTTATAACATTTATGTTATAACCATTGACATATACCACGTTATATGTCAATAAACAATACTTAGAAGGTATGAGGATATCTTTAGACACCAGGGTTCTCATAAGACTAAATGAAAACTTGGGCTATACTCCCTATTCAATAAGTGGACACTACTATTAATAATAACTCTAAGGCAGGGGCATCTGGGTGGCTCAGTTCGTTGAGCATCTGCCTTTGGCTGAGGTCCTGATGCCAGGATCCTGGAATCCAGCCCTGTTTCTGGCTCTGTGCTCAGCAGGGAGTCTGCTTCTCTCTCTCCCTCTCTCTCAGTGCTCTCTCTCGCTCACTCTCAAATAAATAAAAAAATCTTAAAAAAAATAATAACAATAACTCTAGGGATGCTTGGATGGCTCATTCAGTTACGCATTTGCCTTCAGCTCAGGTCATGATCACAGGGTTCTGGAATCAAGTCCCGTATTGGGCTCCTTGCTTAGTGAGGAACCTGCTTCTGCCTCTGTCTGCCACTCCCCCTGCTTGTGCTCTCTCTCACAAATAAATAAAATCTTTAAAAATAAAATAAAATAATAAATAAACTGTCCTTGTTTATCAAGCACCTGGGTGGCTAAGTCAGTTAAGCATCTGCCTTCAGTTTAGGTCATGATCCCAGAGTCCAGGGATCGGGTCCCACATCAGGATCCCTGCTCAGCTGGGAATCTGCTTCTCCCTCTGTCCTTAACCCTGCACATGCTCTCTCTTGCTCTCTCAAATAAGTAAATAAAATCTTTTAAAAAAATAATAACAATTCTATACAGGGGCACCTTACTGGCTCAGTCAGTAGACCATGAGATTTCTTTTTTTTTTTTTTTAAAGATTTTTTTATTTGACAGAGTGAGATCACAAGTAGGCAGAGAGGCAGGCAAAGAGAGAGGAGGAAGCAGGCTCCCTGCCAAGTAGAGAACTCAATGCGGGACTCGATCCCAGGACCCTGAGATCATGACCTGAGCCGAAGGCAGAGGCTTAACCCACTGAGACACCCAGGCGCCCAACCATGAGATTTCTTGATCTCAGGGTCGTGAGTTTGAGCCCCACAATGGGGGTAGGGTTTACTTAAAAATAATAATAATTCTGTTGATGAGAGGGGTAGTGGAAACCTGACTAAGCATCTCATGGAACTCAGCTTAACTTTGCTAAAAATGTTTTACATATGGGCTTTTCCATTTTGGCAACCTCCTAAGGTAGAACTTTAGCCCTAAAAGGATTTCTTCTTGAAATACAATTTTAAAAACACAGCCAAATGTTTGGAGAAAATATATGCTTATAAACTTGAGGCACAAACTATTGTTTTCTCTAAAATTAAATTGATACTACTTTCCCCAATGAGCACAAGTGACCTATTCCAAATGTGTTATCAGAATAACTGACCAGTTTAAACAACCAGACTTGTAACAATCCTCAAAAAACTTTCCATTCTCCTGAGAAAGGGAAGTATGGGAAATGTTTTATGTTTCATTCAGATCTAAGCAAATGTCATATGTTTGCTTTGCCTTTATCTACAGCTATATTGGTACCCCATTTAGAAAATGTAATGTTTTGGTCAAATTATTACATATATGTTCCTTCTTGGGGAAAAAAAAATTACAATTATTTTTGTGCCTGCAATCTGCATCTAAACTGTGGTTCTTGGATGCCTGGGTGGCTCAGTGGGTTAAAGGCTCTGCCTTTGGCTCAGGTCATGATCCCCGGGTCTTGGGATTGAGCCCTGCATTGGGCTCTCTGCTCAGTGGGGAGCCTGCTTCCTCCTCTCTCTCTCTCTCTGCCTGCCTCTGTCTTCTTGTGATCTCTCTCTCCATGTCAAATAAATAAATAAAATCTTAAAAAAAAATAAACTGTGGTTCTTGATCATTTATTAGTCAATGGAATTTCAAGGGATTAATAAGTCACTAAATCATAGGTCGCTAAATAGCTCAGAAGCAAGAGGAGTTTTGCTTCCAGGGATAAAAAATAACTGTAAGGTGTAATGAGACTACTCCATGTACATACCAGTGTTTGCAATATGGAGTACTCCAGACATCATTTGTGGCATCATCTGGGAAGGGAAACTCTTTGCCAAGTCATCAGCTTTATTGATTTTCCAGTTCTTCTCAGTATAGGGTTGTTTAATATTGCCTTCCATTATACAAGTAACTGCAGAACAGCCACTCCATCGAACCCTGGACACTTCATTCCTTCCGAGACGTAAAAGCCTGTCCATTCTCCAAAACGCTTTCGCAAAGGCTTTGTGTATGTTCTCATACTCACATTTCACCTTTTTTCTCTTTTTCTTTATGGAGGAAAAAAGTTCTTCTATAGCTATGTATTCTTCCCTAAATACCGTGTTAAAGGATTTGATTACATTTTGCTCTTCAGGAGTCATTTGGTAGGAAGGATCAAATCTGGAAAGTTGATGGAGAATTAAAACTGGGAGTTCCATTGAAGTCAAGCCTGCTGCTGAGGCGCCATGATGTCCATCAAACAAACCGAAAAAACACACATCAGGTTTATTGCCAAAGTTATTCACCACAGTGAATTTATCATTCATGTCAGCTTTCCATGTAGAATTTCTGTCTTCACAAATAGCTACACCTTTAATCAATCCATGACAGACTGCTTGAGAAAATATGGAACTCCTGTGAACGTTATCAATGATCTTATAGTATGCTGGTATTTGTTTCTTCCAAAGTAGCTCAGAAGCATTATTAATGCTCTGGAGGATTTTTTCAGTGAATATAGAAAATGACAATAGTTTAGTGATCATAAACTGTCTCTGAATGGAAACCAGTGGAAGCGCTGGTTTCTTTGTACTCATCCATTGAAACCCCAGGGTGGCCAGAGCCACATGTTGCTTTTTATGGAGGAAAACATCAGGTAGATCAATTTCACGTTTGCATATGGAACAGGGAAATGTCATCAGTTGGTCACGCTGCTGTTCATGGTCTTCAGAGTCTCCTGACAGTCTGTCCTCCTTCTTCCTTCTAGAACACCTTCTTCTCAATGAAAGTGAGATGTCACTTTCTGATTCAAATGTTGATTTTCCCTCATTCCATTCCCTTGATTTCCAAAACACTCTGCAAACAGGACAAAAGATATTGACATGCCAGGAATAACACATTGAAAGCTTTTTTCTTTTTTAGGTTTATTTATGTATCATAGAATTGGAGAGAGTGAACACCTGGCAGGGGCAGAGGGAGACAGTCTTCCAGCAGATTCCCCGCTGAGCACAGAGCCCCACTCTGGGCTTGATCTCTTGATCCATGAGATCATGACCTGAGCCCTGTTCCCAAGTGGATAGTCAGGCACTTAACCCACTGAGCCACCATGTGCCCCAACACATTGAAAGTCCTTGCAAGCAGACCCTTTTCTTTGCAATTTGTTTTAGGTTCTCAAAACTCTATGCGGGCCTACTATTGAATATTCTGATGCATCTTTCTATCGTTCCTTAAAAAAAAAAAAAACGCACAAAATTACTCAAAAAATTGGTGATTGAACTTTGTATGCCTGAATAAAATTAGGCAAAGTCTATACGAAGTCAACTAGAAATCTAAGAACAAATACTCAAAGAAATCAGCACAAGATTGTATCCCAGGCATGTGAAGGTTTATGCTTGAAAACTAGGTATTTGAATTAAAATTTCAGCATAATTATTTTGGTACTCCATTTTATCTTGCTGAAAATACTCTTTTTTTCCCCTACTTAAAGGGTTCACAGGAAAATGAATAGGAGGAGTGCCTGGGGGGCTCAGTTGGTTAAGCATCCAAATTTTCCAGCTTTGGTCATGATCTCAGGATGGTGGGATTGAGCCCTGCATGAGGCTCTGCACACAGCGCCCTGTCGGCTTGAGATTCTCTCCCTCTGCCTGCCTCTCGGCCCCTCCCCCTGCTGGTGTACTTTCTCTAAAATAAATAAAATCTTTATTTTTTAAAAGATTGTATTTATTTATTTGACAGAGAGATCACAAGTAGGCAGACAGGCAGGCAGGCAGAGAGAGGGGGAAGCAGGCTCCGTGCTGAGCAGAGAGCCCCATGAGGGACTCGATCCCAGGACCCTGAGATCATGACCTGAACAGAAGGCAGAGGCTTAACCCACTGAGCCACCCAGGGGCCCCTAGTTAGTGGCTTAAAATGTTTATGACATGTGACATGTTAACTTCAACTCAACTTCATGTAAGTTATATTTAACTTCAACTCAACTCACAGAAGTTGTATTTGATCTTAGTACATTGAATGTGTTAGATACGCCTACAACAATAAGAATGTCTGAGGCCTGTAGGGATTTGGAATATTCCAAGCATAGTAACAGGTATTCAAGAATGCTTATAGTTGTTAAAATAAGAAATGAATACATTTAGTCCTGATGACAAAATAGTATCTCTGAGCATAAAAGTAATGTATAATCATTTTTAAGTTCAAGACAGAAAGACACAAACTAGAAATGAAAGAGCTTTCACCTTTTTTCTCCAGTCTCACCCCCACCTCCCAAATCCCAGTCTTGGCTAGTGGCCTGTTATCTATCTTTTCAAATATGTATATATAAGATATACTATAATATATTAATAATATATGTGTCATTTTTTATAAATATAATTATATCAATAATATATATTATATATGTTCTATATAATTATATCACTTATATAATGTGTTATTATATTAAATATAATAATTAAATATATAATAATACATTAATAGTATTAACATAACTTACATAAATATACTTGCCTATAAAATATATGTCATCTTTTCTGAAATGTAAATTTTGTAGACCATCCTAAAATCTGCCATTATTACTCAATACTAAGTCATGGTCTCATACTGAAAGTTTGAATATGGACAGACAAAACAATATACTATGAACAATGTAGAGTTTGGATTTTAAAAAAAGAACCGTCTTAAAAAAAAAAAAGCCTGTCGTCACTTAGAAATTATAAGGCCTTAGCCAAGTTATTAAGCTTCTCTGAACATCTGCTTTCTTATCTGTAAATGAACACGATTATTTATAGCATCAAATGAGATAAATGGTGAAGCAATTGGTAATAGGGGACGCTCAAAAACTGCCTGCACCTTCTACCCTAAGCAAAAAGGGACACTTAGGACTGAACCAAATTAAAACATCTCACTGACATGAACACATGAAATTGTAATGCTTAGGGGAAAATATATATAAAACTAATTTTAATGGGGCACCTGGGTGGCTCAGTGGGTTAAAGCCTCTGCCTTCAGCTCAGGTCATGATCCCAGGGTCCTGGGATAGAGCCCCACATCAGGTTCTCTGCTCAGCCTGCTCCCCACCCCCCATCAAATAAATAAATAAAATCTTAAAAAAAAAATCAATAAGTCAATGGGAATTTTTTTTTTAAGTGATCTTTACACCCAATATGGGACTTGAACTTACAACCTTGAGATCAAGAGTTGCTTTACTGACTGAGCCAGTCAGGTGCCCTGGGTGAGGATTTTTTTAATAGCAGTACCTGAATCTGAGTGTTTCAGAATTGTGTTATATGTATTTATTAATATGTTGTGGTAAACTGTATATATCATTGCCTTACTACAATGATTAATCACTTTAACAAATAATAATAAACTGGACACATAAAACAGAACACAATTTAGGGGCACCTGACTGGCTCAGTTGGAGGAGCCTGGGACTCTTGATCTTGGAGTTCTGAGTTCATGCCCCACTTAAACCACTGAGCCACCCAAGCACCCCTATTTACAAATTTCTACCTCATAAATGCTTCTGAAGATATTAGCATATTAGTAGGCCTTCTTGGCTTTGCCTCAACAACAAATTTTTGTGTGTTTTTTTTAAACAGAAAAAAATCAAAACTACACAAAAATAGAAGAGTATAATGAGCCCCCATATGCCCACCACCAGCTTCAACCATTATCAATATTTTTCCATTCTTGTGTCAACTTTGTCTTATTTCATTCTATTATCTTTATGGGACTATTTAAAAGCAAAAACCAAAATTATATCAATTTCACTGATAGACACTTCAGTCTCAAAAACAAATTTGATCAGCCTCCATTCACTCCTTTTTTTTTTTTTTAAGATTTTATTTATTTATTTGACAGAGATCACAAGTAGGCAGAGAGGCAGGCAGAGAGAGAGGAGGAAGCAGGCACCCCGCTGAGCAGAGAGCTCACCATGGGGCTCGATCCCACCTGGGATCATGATGTGAGCCGAAGGCAGAGGCTTTAACCCACTGAGCCACCCAGGCACCCGCTCCATTCACTTCTTCAACACCTATGCCAGGCCACCTACAGTGAGCACATGTTGCTAAAGACGCGCAGACAGGTAAGGCTTGAAGCTTTGAGGGGAGGAGTCTGCAGAGACATTCATGTGCTCATGCAAAGAATTAAACAGGTCAGATGAAGTCCAGGACAGTGCCCACCCAGGGACCTAACCCCTCATCTAGCTACGAGTGGCATCACGACACCTGAGAAGCCTACCCAGAAAAACTCACAGTGGAGAGAGATCAACAGGGGGGTCCAAGGCAAATTCAAGGGAATGACCAGTTAGCAGGAGCAAGGAGGAAGAGGACCCAGGGAAGGAACTGGACAGGCAAGCAGAGAAGTATGGGGAGAAATGAGTACTGGCAAAGCTATTGAGCTCTTTTGGCTAAAACATATTATAAATATTTTTATTTGCTATTATTTGGTAATGTTCATGTAAAGGTTGCAGTTTTCCTGAGGCTTGATGAACTGTTTGGACAATCTATAAGGCACCTACTACTGTCATTTGACTTAGAGTCAAACCTTTACACCAGAAGTTTATTTTCTTGTATATGGGGAATAGCCATAATACAGTTTTCTCTCACAGGAAGCTATGCTTAGAGTGTAATGTGTCTTTCATTCAGTCAACAAATACTTGAGTGTCTGCAATATGCTAAGTACTGTTTTATTTGCTGGGGATGCAACAGTGAACAAAACAGGCATGGTCTCTGATGAAGCTTATATTCTGATACAAAGGCAATACATAAAGGAAACATGTATATGTGTAATACCAGATGGGGGTAAGTACTAACATGAAAAACAGAGGGGCACCTGGGTGGCTCAGTTGGGTTAAGCCTCTGCCTTCGGCTCAGGTCAAGATCTCAGGGTCTGGGATCAAGGCCTGCATCAGGCTCTCAGCTCAGCGGGGAGCCTGCTTCCCCCTCTCTCTGCCTGCCTCTCTGCCTACTTGTGATCTCTCTCTCTGTCAAATAAATAAATGAAAATCTTAAAAATAGAAAGATAGAAAGAAAAACAAAGCAGAATAAGAGTATAGAGAGGGATGGAAGCCCTCTTTTGTATAAGGTAGTCAGAAGAATATATCATTTCCTCATGTACTTAGTCTAACAGGAAGCCAAGATTTCATTTGATAACTAAGAAAGTGGAGGAAAAAGAACACTGCAGATAAAATTGTTTATTGACTTACAGATGGCAACACATGAAAAGATGCTCAACGTTAGGGAATGCAAATCAAAACCACAATGAGATAGATATCACCTCGCACCTGTCAGAATGGCTAAAATAAAAAACACAAGAAACAGCAGGTGTTGGCGAGGATGAGGAGAAACAGGAACCCTTGTTCCTGTCGGTGGGAATGCAAACTGGTGTGGGCACTGTGGAAAACAGTATGGAGGACATTATTTACAATAGCCAAATTACAAAAGCAGCCCAAATGTCCATTGATAGAGAAGTGAATAAATAAGTAATATCCATATACAGATATAGATATTACTTATAAGTACTATATACTTATAGATATTACTTATATTACTTATAACCATATATATGGATATTACACACACACACACATATATATGTATATATATGTATATAAAACTTGGGATATTGGGATATTACTCAGCCATAGAAAATGAAATCTCGCCATTTGTATGAACATAGATGGATCTGGAGAGTATAATGGTAAGTGAAGTGAGTCAGAGAAAGATAAACACCACATGATTTCATTCACATGTGGAATTTAACAAAACAAATGAACAAAGGAAAAAAAGAAACAAACCAAAAAACAGACTCTTAAGTATAGAGAATAAATCGACAGTTACCTGAGGGGCGGTGAGGTAAACAGGTGGGACCTTTCACAGAGTCCCACCTCCTAGACTCACCATGGGATCCTACTCGTCTGTCTGTGGCCTTGATCATTTACATTGGGATCTGATTTACTGATTTAGGGAATCTGCCAAATAGTTTTCAGCCCTCTGCCCAGGAGGGTTATCAAGTGTATTCAGCCTGAGCGACCCCTGAGTGTTCCGGTTTCTCACAATTGTGTTTTCTTTCTCATCAAACTTGGATACAAACAAGCAAAAAAAAAAGGGGGGGGTTTAAGAGCACATTTATCATGATGAGCTCTGAGTACTATACAGAACTGCTGAATCACTGGGGGGCCTGGTGCAGTCAGTTAAGCTTCTGACTCTTAATATCAGTTCAGGTCATGATGTCAGGGTTGGGAAGTCAAGCCCCGGGGTCAGGTGGAGTCTGCTGGAGATTCTGACTCTTCCTCTGCCCCTCCCCCTGCTCATGTTCCCTCTCTCTCTCAAATAAATAAATAAATCTTTACAAAAAAAACCTGTTGAATCACTATCTTGTACACCTGAAACGAATGTAATACTATATGTTAATTACACTTGAGTTTTTTTTTTTAAATGTTCATTGACTGCATTTGTCATCCAATAGAAATGAAAATTTACCTGAAAGCACTATTAATTTCCTTGCTCATTTGGAATTGTTACCTCCCTTGGCCTTCTCTTTATCACCTTTCCCCAGTCTCTGTTCCTTCAACTTGGATAGTAATGGTGATGGCTGTGATGGAGGTGGTTATGATGGTGGTCGTGGTGGGGGTTGTCCCACAGAAGTGATGGGAGACCTCTGCACGTGGAATGTTCACGACATCACCTGGAACCTCAGTCAGAACTCTCTTTATGATTCTGAAGGACTATGAAGGAGGAAGGGCAGAAACTGTATTCAGTAACAAACCTGTGCTTGAAATTTCAAAAAGAAGAATCATTCATTAAATATACTGTCTTATGCCTGCATACTAGGATTAAAAAATAAGAGGAGGGCCTATCTGGTTGAGTTTTTTTCTTATAAGTATGGCACTTTCAAAATACTGATTCCAGAAGGCTACGCTTAATGTATATACCAGTTCTCTTCTCAGTCGGTGGAGGTAAGGTATCTCAGGCCATCCCTCCAGGAGGCTGCCTCCTACCTGCCCTGCAGGGTCTGCCCACTCCATCTCGCTGCCCTAAGTCATTACCTGACTCATAGACCTTGTTTGAACTTTTTGTTTCTTGAGATTGTCTTCACTCCCAGCCAATACCTTTAGTTCCTAGGCTTATAATCCAAAACTGCATTCCACCCTCTCACCCCAGGATGGATTCAAACTAAAGTTCTAGAGCAATTTGTTTGCATATTGAAGAAATTTAAACAAGACAACGGATTACTAGACATTTCCGTGGGGATGTATTACAGTCAACTCAAAGTTAACATATCCAAAATGGAACTCACTACATTTCCTCCAGAATCTCCTAGCATTACCTTGATTAAGCTGGAAACTGTTTCACAGAATCCTCTTCCCTGTGTGGTTCCAGGTTAGAGTTGGCCAAGAAAGGAATTTGGAGGCACCATATCTGAATGCCATCATGGTTCAGTGAGATGACCAGTAGATGTAGAGATGCCTGGCAGGTTCCAGCTTGTCCTGGCTCCTTCCACTTCGCCTCCAGCTCTTCCTCTTGACGGAAGGCCCTGTTGACATCTCTCCCTTTCCATCTCCTCCTCCCCGTTTGTGCTCTCTCCCTCTCCCCCTCTCAAATGAATAAATAAATCTCTAAAAAGAATAAATTATACTTGAACAATAAATACAGATTGATTAATTGATTGATCTGGGGCTCTAGACTGACTCACTCTGTGGAACATGCAACTCCTGATCTCGAGGTTGTGAGTTTGAGCCCCACCTTGGGTATAGAGACTACTTAAAAATAAAATCTTTAAAAAAATCAATTTAAAAGAAAAAAGTCATAAAACTTGTACTTGTTCTTATTATAGTGGAAAACGTAAGCAAGTAAGTGGATTCTCAAGTGGAAATGTTCTTTTCTTCCTTCCTCAGTCCATCATCCAAAGAGAGACCCCCTGGACAACAGGGATCTTTCCAACATGGGTCAAAAAACAATTTGATTGTATGTTATATATTCTCATGTTACAGAGACACTGTTCTATAATTTCCTTTTTTTCACTTAGTAGTAGTATTGTTGACACTGTTTCATGTCAGTTCATATAGATCTACCTCATTCTTTTTTAATAGCTAAATAATATTCTAATGTACGATTGTACAAAAAGTTGTTTAATGTTTCCTCTATTGATGGACACTTAGTCTGGTGAAAGCATGTGACTTTACAAACAATGCTGCAACAAGCAGGGCCTGGGTGGCTCAGTTGGTTAAGCATCTGTCTTTGGCTTGGGTCATGATCCCAGGGTTCTGGGATCAAGCCCAACACCCAGGTCCTGCTCAGCAGGTAGTCTGCTTGTTTCCTGACCTCCCACCCCTCCTCCATGCTCCTGTGTTCTCTCTCTCAAATAAACAAATAAAATCTCTAAAACACTAAACAAAAAACAATGCTGCAACAAAAAAATCCTGTACATATACCCATTTGATAAATTCCTAGGAGTAAAATTCCTCTATCAATGACAAAGTGCATTTTGCATTTTTCAAATTTATTTAACCACCCTTTATTGAAGATACACTGTGTATCAGACACTGTTTTTAGCCTGAGGATACCATTTGAAGAAAAGGAATTTCTTTCCACAAGGAACAAATATTCCAAATTTTGCCAAATAGCCACCTATACATTTTATACCAATTTACACCATTTTTGAGAGTTTCCTTTCCTCTGCCCTGATTAATAATGGACATAAAAAAAGAAAAGTAGGAGTTTACTGGTATTTATTTTCATTTTAAATTAAGAGGAAGGTTGGCACTTTTACAAATATTGGGCACTAAACTTTCTCTCTCTGAAACTGATGATTGAGATACTTTTCTCCCTACTGTGTTGTTATCCTTTTTCTTAATTGATTAGAAACCTATCTTCTATAATAGTAAATTTTCACGTATGTATTACTTTTCTGTGTTGTTTATTTTTTCTTAATAAAATATAAAATTTTTCTGAAAACAATAAACATACTTTTAAATATATAAATATCCAACACAGTATAGAAGAAGAACAAAGTTGGAGGACCGACACTATCCAACATCGAGACTTACACAAAAGCTACAGTAACCAAGACAATGTGATATTGGTGAAAGAACAAAGAGATCAATGGAACAGAGCAGAGAGCCCAGACATAAACCTACACAGATATAATCAACTGATCTTTAACAATGGACAAAAGGCAATTCAATGGAGAAAGCATAATCTTTTCAACAATGGTTCTGGAAAAACTGGACATCCTCATGAAAAAAAAAAAAAAAATAGACACAGGGGCACCTGGGTGGCTCAGTGGGTTAAGCCTCTGCCTTCGGCTCAGATCATGATCTCAGGGTCCTGGGATCGAGCCCTGTAGCAGGCTCTCTGCTCAGCAGAGAGCCTGCTTTCCCCCTCTATCTGCCTGCTGCTCTGCCTACTTGTGCTCTCTCTCTCTGTCAAATAAATAAATAAAATGTTTTTTTTTTTTAAATCTAGAGACAGACCTAACACTTTTCACAAAATTAACTCAAAATGTTTCAAACACCTAAATTTAAAACAGAAAACAACTTTCTCAAATAAATAAATAAAACCTTTTAAAACAGAAAACTCTAAAACTCCTAAAAGATTAACACAGAAGAAAATCTAGTAATCTTGGGTTTGGATGACTTTTTATATATGAAAATCTCGATCCATGGGAAAAAAAAATTGGTAAGCTGAACTTCATTGAAATTAAAAACTACTCCGCAAAATACACTAACAGAATGGAAAGACAAACCACAATTTGGGAGAAAATATTTGTAAAACACATATTTGACAAATGTCTGGTATTCAAAAGATGAAAAGAACTCCTAAAACCCCACAATAAAACAAACAAACAACTGGATTTAAAAATGGGCATAAGATCTGAACAGGCACTTCACCAAAGAAAATAGAAAGAAAATATACAGATGGCAAATACAGATGGAAAATAAGATAAACATAAGAAATGATGCTTAATATTGTATGTCATTAGAGAATCACAAATGAAAACAACAAACTATCACTACTTACTAGAATGGCTAAAGTCCAGAGACCGGTGACACCAAATGAAGGAGAAGATGATGAGCAGCAGGACCTCTCGTCTCTTGCCAGTGGGAATTTAAAATGGGACAGTCACTTTGGAACCCAGTTCAGCAGTTTCTTGCAAAATTAAACATATGTGTACTGTTACTATACGATAGAGCACTTACACTCTGAGGTATTTACTCAAATGAGTTGAAAACTTACAGAAAACCACAGAAATCCGCAGAAAACCAGCACAAGAATGTTTACAGCAACTTTATCCATAATGGCCAAACCTTGGAAGCCACCAAGAAGTCTTTCAGTGGGTGAAGGGATAAATAAACTGTGGTACATCCCTACAATGGAATAGTGTTCAGTGATGCAAAGAAATGAGCTATCAGGCCAGGAAAAGACATGGATGAATCTTTAAAGCATATCACTAAGGCAAAGAAGCCAATCTAAAAAGGCTGCATATCCTATGACTCTAGCTACATGACAGTCTAGGAAAGGCAAAAACTATGGAGATAATAAAAGGATCAATGGTTGCCAGGAACTGGGAAAAGAAAGGGATGAATGGGTGGAGTACAGGGGCTTTTTAGAGCAATAAAACTACTCTGAATGATAATATAATGGTGGACACAAGTTATTATATATTTGCCAAAACTTATATAATGTACAATACAAAGAATGAATCTGAATGTAAACTATGGGTTTGGTTCATAATGTATCTATATTAGCTCACCAATTGCAACAAACGTATCACACTAATCCAAGATGTTAATACTATCAAGGGAAGAAGGGAGTTAGGGTGTATATGGGAAATCTGCACTTTTTGTTCAAGTTTTCTGTAATCCTAAAAATACTCAAAAATAAGTTTACTAATTAAATAATGTATGCGTATAAGTAGAAACACTCTAGGAAAATATCTTTCTGTAAAGGTATCCAATAATTTTGTTTTCCTAATTCATGTCTAAAGCAAATGAAAAGGTTGTAGGAAATTAGAAGATAGACTATCTTGGGAAGGCTAACCATACAAGAGGATACTCCTTTTCCTATTAGATGGCTATATGAATTATTTCATTTTATCTACTGAACACCTACAGGAGTAGGCACCAGACAAAAAGCTCAATGGCAGTTGTCTTTTCTTGAGAAGGTCAATATCATGAAGAAGACAGACACACAGGTGCAGTACTGTAACACCAGTACAACAATATCAGTGCAGGGACTATTTCTAATCATTTCATCACATTGCCTTACATCCATATGATGCTGTAAACAGACACTATTTTTTTTAAGATTTTATTTATTTATTCGACAGACAGAGATCACAAGTAGGCAGAGAGGCAGGCAAAGAGAAAGGAAGGGAAACAGGGTCCCCGCTGAGCAGAGAGCCTGATGCGGGGCTCGATCCCAGAACTCTGGGATCATGATCTGAGCCGAAGGCAGAGGCTTTAACCCACTGAGCCACCCAGGCGCCCCTAACAGACACTATTAACCCATTATACAGGCAAAGACACTAAGCTCGGGAAGATGAGTTAACTTGCTTAGGGTAAGAGGCAGAGTTGACGATCAGGCTCA